TATATGGGGACAGAAATTAAACTAGAAATGTAAAAAAGTGAAGTCATGTTTATACTGATTAAAAATAAAATACTAAAATTTGTTTTAGTTTTGTGTTGATTAAAAGGGTATTTGATTCCACGACAATATAGAATATACATTTCATGCTCAAGTCTAGAAAAAAAAGTAGCTACTTGTTTGTCCAAGGAGCTCTGGTAGTGCAGTGGTTAAAGCATTTGGCCACTAACAAGAAGGTTGGCAGTTCAAACCCACCAGCTACTCTGTGAGAGAAATTTGAGGCAGTCTGCTTCTATAAAGATAAGCAGCCTTGGAAACCCTATGGAGCAGTTCTACTCTGTCCTGTAAAGTCATTATTAGTTAGAATCAACTTGATAGCAGTGGGTTGGTTTGTTTTTATTTAGTTTTTCCAAGTGTTAAGAAATTAGTAGTGTTGCCTAACAATATGCCAGATTATTTCTATTGGAGTTTTGTGTCATATTCTCAAAGGCAATAGCGCTGAACTCACTAACCTGTATATACCTTCTAGCAATATCCTTGGTCTAGCATAGGCAAAATTAGATTTAAACTTTTTACTCCAGGACCTAAGCATAGTAAAGTCAGGAAAGGATTTTTTTCCACTTGAAACAAAAGGTTAGGTGAAGTGCATGGCTTCAAGCCACTGCCGATGTAGATTCCAACTCAGCAACCCCCGTTGGATTTCCAAGGCTATAAATCTTTACGAAGTAGGTTGACTCATCTTCCTTTACTGGAGCTGGTGGGTGTGAATTGCCGACCTTCTGGTTAGCCGAATGCCTTCTCCACTGCACCAGCAGAGCTCCTTGAATGGCTTCAAAGACAATCCAAATAACTGCCCCTCATTGACAGTCTTAATTGCTGTTTTACCAATGTTTGTACCTGCCATCTGCCCTACAAGACAGACATACTGAGATAGCAAGAGAATTTGGTAAAATAGGTCTTTCAAGGAATTAAGAAAATATACTACTTTGACCTTGTAGCCCTCCTCAAGTTCATGAAACATTAAGACACTGAAACAACAAGGTTGCAGTCAGAAGGCCTTAAAAAGTTTCAGGATTTACTAAAACATGCTGAAGATAACAAAGTGGCATTTGACAACTGATTTAAAAAAAAATGTGAAGGTGTATCTGCCTCCATCTCCTAGACAAACCCTATTTCAGAGGTTTACTAATTCTTATATTTGATATTTATTCGATATTTATAGGTACAGCAAAAATCTCAAACCCACAGTGGAGATGATAAATAGTTTCTAATGTCCAGATGCTGCACTGCCATTCATATTTGATATGAAATGTTAGCTGCTGTCAAATCGACTCTGAGTCATGGGAACCCCCTGTACAACAGAATGAGGTGCTGTCCGGTCCATCATCCTCGCAGTTGCCAGCATGTTCAAGTCCATCATTGTGGGCACTGCCATCCATCTCACCCAGTGTCTCCCGCACCCTCATTGACCCCCTATTTCATCAAACATCTTGTCCTTCTCCAGCAATTGATCCTTTCTGATGACATGCCCAAAGTAAGCAAGCAAGCCAATATTCTGTCGTGATCCATAAGGTTTTCATTGATTAATTTTTGCAAGTAGATTACCAGGCCTTTCTTTCCAGTCTATCTTAGTCCAGAAGCTCTATTGAAACCTGTCCACCATGGATGATCTGCTGGTATTTGAAATAGTGGTAGCATGGCTTCCAGTGTCATAGCAACACGCAAGCTAATACAGTACTACAAACTCTCACACGGGTAATAAAAACCAATGCCATTAGGTCAATTCTGACTCACAGCAATCCTGTAGGACTGCCCCATGGGGTTTCCAAGGCTGTAATCCTTAGAGATATAAACTGCCACATATTTCTTCCACAGAGCTGCTGGTGTGTTCTAATCAACTGACCTTTTAGTTAACAGCCAAACACTTAACCACTGAGCCATCAGAGCTCCTACACAGGTGGTGGAGATGTGGAATACCCATCTCTAGTGATGTGTTTCAAGAGAATCACCATGAGTGAAAATGTCACAAATGCTGTAAATCTTAGGATTTTTTCTGCACTTGCCCTGATAAGATTACCTGGGGAAACGCCCTTTGCAATCACTGGTAACATAGGGTGGTTTTGTGCAGATGTTCATAGAAAATAAAGACGAGACATTCACTGAATTGATAAGGCTAAATCAGTGAAAACCGTTTTAAATACAGAAGTTCTTGTGTTAAGTGGTGTACTCAAGATAGCTGTGGTATTCATGAACGTGAGCTTATGTACTAGAACCACCAAGGGTAAAGGAAAGAGACCTCCTTGCTTTGTGTCTCTTATGTTGTAGGCCTGCCAGGTCTTTCTAAGAAAAGACCGCAAGTGAACATAAATGATAAGGCAAATAGCCCCAGAGCTGACAAAGCCAATCTTTCAAGGCCCTGGACACAGGTATTAGGCCTGGGTGATTTGGCTTCCTTAAAAACAGAATTTTCCTCTCAGATAAGTTATTTCTAAGTGCAGATATGCCTGGGTTTTCCTTTTTTTGAAAAAAAAAGAAAAAGGCGGGAGGTGGAGCCCACAATATAACGCATTTGTGACATTACAGTTAGTAGAGCTGTTTAGCTGCCCACTTCGTCTGTGTGCCAAAATTTTTGTGGTACACAGAGGAAGTGGGCAGCTGAATTTACCTACTTACATCCCTATCTCCTTTTTATTTTTTGCACATCTTGATAACTAATGATAAACCAAAATAAAAACCTTGAGTCAAGTCTAAGTTGTGATTCTCATCCATCTTCAAACTAAGGTTAAGGCTTTGCGTTTTAATCTAAGAGAAATATATGTTGGTGACGGGGTATATAGATATATTTCAGAAATAATCTTTAACTTCTTTTTTAAATCTTCATTTTAGACCATGGATGAAGCAAATACATTCTAAGTCCATAAACTACCAATTCCAAAACCAAACTCATTGCCATTGAGTCAGATCCAACTCATAGCGACCCCTCCTAGGGTTTCTGAGTCGGTATCACTACAGAAGTAGATTGCCCAACCTTCCTTCCAAGGAATGGCTGGTGGGTTTGAACTGCCAGCCTTCTGGTTAGCAGTCAAATGTCTTATGCACTACACCACTAGAGCTCCCAACTACCAATTGAGTAGTTCAAAATTCCATCGTGAAGCTACGTCACTTGCCTTTTTTTTTTTTTTTTTTTTTTTGGCTTCTGCTCTCCTTTAAAGCCTCTTCCCAACAATGGAATAGCAGTCTGTTTTCACTGCCTCAGATTCCTCCTCATTCACTCCGCAGCTTCAAACTGCTTTTTTGTTAAGGTCATTGATTGCTAACATCGCATAATTACTGATCATTGACTTTTTTTCAAAATTGCCACTTGTCTCCTCTCCAGCATTGCTCATTGTGAATGGTTGGTTCCCTACTTTTTCTTGGCTTTTGCAGCAGCAGGTTTCCTTGCTGTTTGCCCTACTTAGTAATAATAGTTCCTCACTACCCACTGCCATTTATTGCTGACTCTCTCCTCCCTGTTCTACTTGTCCCTTGTGCATGGGAATTCCCAAAATTTCATTCTGGGACTTATTTTTTTGTTTGTCTACTCAGACCAGATGATCTCACATAATACCATGCTTTCAGTTATAATGACTACTTCCAAAGCTAATGTTCCAACTACCATCCCTCTCCCACTCTCCAGACCTATATTTCCAACTGCCAGTTTCTCATGCTTATCTCAGTGGCTTAGAAGAACAGCATGTTTAAAACTGGCCTCATATACCCATCTGCCCTCTCATCCCATCCCAACTTGCTTTGCATTTTGTATTTTGAATTTTAAAGTCTTCATTGCTCACCCAACACTAGAAATCTTTCAGGCTTCTTCTGTTTATTTTCTATCATACCCTGCTTCTAAATGATCCCTAAAGTTGACAGGATTTTTTAAACTTACTCAAAATATAGTTTGAATCTGGCCTCCTTTCATTCTAACCTTCAGATTTTAATTGACTTTTGCAACAGCCTCATAACTGATTTCAGTTATGGCCCTGTTCCTGTCCATTCTCTACATTGCCACCATTCCATTCCAAAAGCAATTGATGAAGTTACCTCCTGGATTTACATTGTAGTTTTATTCACTTTTTTCTTCAGGATAAATGATAAGTTCTTGAATTTTAGCTGGGCTCAAGCAGCATTGTTAGTCTGATTTCCCACCCTGTCTCCTTCTGTCCCACCATGCACACTGTACTTCTGACATAGAGGTTCTCATGCTTTACACACACCCTATTCCACATCCTCCCTTCCAGAAAATTCCTTCAACACCAGCTCAAATTTCATCTTTCTCAGGCAGAGTCAGTTGCTCTTC